GCCTTTGTTTACCTCTTAAACGCTTTTATAGGAGGTTCTGGTTAGCCATTTCCAATAGAGAACGGAGCAGTTGATCAGATAGCAGCTAAACTAATGAAAAGCATCATGGAAGTGACAGGAAGATTAATTAAGTTCCTCCAGTTGTATTCACGTGTGGCTGTACAGAGTTCCTTTGGGTACTGCTGCAGTTAAATGGTATTCATGGTGACAAATATTGCAGATTTCCAGAAGTGACACTTCTGAGTCAAGGGTAAAAAACACATTTGGTAGTTTTAGCCAGTGGAGAACGCGCTAAACCAAAGATGAGCCTCTATGGCTAGTTAAAATATACAAGCGTAACTTGCTCCTTCCCTTCTTACCCTTTAGTGTAACCTCAAGAGATTAGTAACGAATCACCAAATCTGCATTATTGTGTCGTATGTCTTAAACTGCTCCAGATGGCTTCAAAATAAAAACAAACCAAATTTCTAGCTGATGTACTTAGTATATTTGATTTGGGGCACAAAATATCTGCACTTGGAAACACTTTCAATTACTTTTGGAGCCTTACAAAACTGTGGCTTGTTTGCTGTTTTTTATTTCTGCACTGTGGTTACTGTAGTACTAATAGGAATGAAATATCTGCAATACATGAATTTCCAAATCATGTAGAAGTTCTAGCCCTACTTTACCTTCAAGAATCTTTTAGTTTTGGGGTGCTTTTGGAGAATTAGTAGGTCAAGTGTGATTTGGATTGCTTCTCCCACTTTATTTTCAGAAACAAATGTTTGCGCAATACATTTTTATTCTTAATAGCTGTCTCTGTACAGTAGATAAAATTTGTTTTAGGAAAACCTGGAAACCTTTCAAGCGTATGAGATCTTTTAACCTACTACACATGATGCATAAACTTAAAATGTTGTGTCACTAGTGTATTTTGTTGCCTACTATTACATTTCTGCCGGCAAAGAGTCCCTTGACATGCTTCTGCATTTGCAAGAAAAGGTTTGTGGTCAGCCTCGCTAATTGAAATTCATCAAAGCCAACTGGTAAGAGTCTGGGTATAAATCTAATATTAGTTGCCTCCTAGGAGAATTCGAGGCTGGAAGAGAGTTTTCCAGGAATCTTAGGGAATTAACTGGGTGCATTAATATTAAATATTAATTGGTCTCTGCAACAGACATGCCTGCAAGTGGTTTTAATACTTAATATGGAGGCATTGTGTAAATCAGTGGATAGATAAAAATCAGTAGAAAGCATAGATAGCGTGGCTAGTTCACAAAGAGTGGCCTTCTGGCTCTAGACCAAGTCATGCGTGGGGAGTAACCTGTAGCTTTCCCAGCTCTGGAGAAATGTAGGGTATGCGCTGTACTTCTGGGAGGAATATACTGTCAGCTTGCTTTTGGTTTATTCCGAGGAGGTAATGTCTTGTAGGGTTGTCTGCATTTTTAAAATCTGCTCTTTGTGGCAAACCCTTTACCAAAGTGGGGTTATCAAGGTGAGGAAGGGCAGAAGAAATCAAGGTGGAGATGCTATTAGGAAAAAAAGGAGGAGGTTGTTAGGAAAGAGGATTGCAGGGAGTAGAAGCTACTTCTATTATTAGAAATAAGCTTGTGGGCTTGCTGTTTTAGCAGAAGGTACTTTTCTTCATATTATGTTTATGCTATTGCTGAATCATGAGGGTTTGGGGGTTTTGTTTTTATAGGTGAACCATGCATGAAAATACGATAATTTTGCAGTTGACCTGCATCTGCAGCAAAGCTAAATGCTCGTTAGCCTGTGCTGGCTTGTTGATGATTGGGAGTTTGCACCATGAGCTGACATCATGGGCTAATTTGCTCATTCATTCTGCATGATCCTGCATGCCCAGACTGGGTCTACTCAAATCTTCAGACGCACACAAGTGTTTGCTGCTCCTGGCTGTGCTTCCCCAGGGTTGTCTTCAGCAGAGTCCTCAGTGCTTGAGTTAAAACACCAGCCTTTCGGGATTGCAATTACTAAACTAATCCTTGCTTTCACTGACAGTGACAATATCCCACTCTGGGAATAAAATTTATTCTTTGTCCCTTGCTTGGAGCTCTACTTCTTTTTGCAGTTTATTAATGTTGTATGTGTGTAAATGAAAGCAGAGTTTGGCATGGAGTATGTGAATTTGGGCTGTGAAAGCTTTCCAGGAGAGACCACCAGTGATTTTTCCCTCCTCCCTTGCATTTGTTCCATAGTTGAAATGCAAAGAAATTAAAGAAAACTTCTTATTTTAGTTTCTCTTTGGCTACTTTGATTGTATGCTTATTGTAAGAACACAAGATGCAATAAGGGGAGGAGATGGTTCTGATTGTTTTGCATCCTAAAGGGGAAAACAAAAGTGGAGGTAACGTTGGGAACTGAGTAGTGGAGAATACATCGGTCTGTGTGGTGCTTTGCTGTTTATGCTTCCTGAGGAGCTGACCTGCCATCAGACTCCTCCGAATTGCTACAGGTATTGTAACAGAGCAGCCAGCTCAAGAAGGGATGTTTAAAGGCAGCATGGTTGCTGCCTGACCACTAATGGTACGTCTACACAGACATGTATCCAGGCTCTCAGCTGGCCAGCTGACGGCACAAATCAGCAAGGCATATCAGCTTGGAGGAACGTCGAGACTGGAGGTAGCCTGCATCTTGCAGGGTCTGATTCCCAACAGAATGAGCCCGAGCCTTTCTGTGATAAGGTAGACGCAGCCTAACAGGCAAATGCTGTGCCTGAGTGCAGACTGTCCTAAAGGATGTCACGCAGCGCCTCTGCAAAAGCACTTTGGAGCTAGCAAAGGAGCTGAAGGATTTCACAGTGAATTGATTCTCTGAGCTTTTACCCTCGGTGAAGGGAGGGGAGGGAATGCTTGTGCTGCGGAAGGCTCCGCAATATAGTAGAATAGTAGCTTATATCTACTGATCAGAGAACATGAGAGTGGCTCAGCTGAGATATTTTAAACCAGCCTTTGAGGGTGGTATTTTCTCCTCTAGTGAGGTGTCCTTCCTTGTACAGTAGAACTGAATGAACATTATAATGATGAAATAGAGGAAAGGAAGGTGCCATGAATACCTTCTGTTACTTGCTGTCCAAACCCTCTAGTTAAAATACAGGCCGTGGTTTCTAGACAGCTTCTTTTCTTTTTTTCAGGGGTTTCTAGGTAGTATTTCTTCACTGTGATTTAGACTTTGCTCAACTGAAGCTGCTGTTGGTCAGTTTGAACCATGCAAGAAATCTTGATCTTCCTACCTCACGCACTATGGCCTCAAAGCGTGCTCCCGCACTGTGTGCTTCTTAGTTGTGAAGCAAAATTTATTTTGGAGTTTATCTGTGTACTGTTTCTCTCTCATTTCAGGCATGCCTCTTCTTAGCGGCAGATGGAATAAGAAAGGGCACTGAGAAAGGCTAGGCATCAGAAATGGAGAGCTGTGGAATTGCCAGTGAGGGACAGGACTCAAATTCATGTCCCAGTTGCCCCCGGCAGTGTTTAATCTCGGTGACTTTCATACAGGTAGCATGAAACCTTGTGAGAGCAATGCAGCAGAGGACTCTTGCTGAGAGATGCATAGCGGTGATGTGCACCAGGGCTCTTAACTCTTCTGCTGGAATTGGAGCATTCCTTGGCTGCTGTGCTGGTGGAATAATTTTGCCCTAAGTGATTGGGCCTCGTGAAATAGTAGTTACTGTGTGGAGTTTTACAAATAAGAAGTAGGGCTTTAAATGAATTATACCCGTCATCCTCTTTCCTGTAGAATGAAAGCATTTATCCCATTAGATCCTATTATAATGAAATAAACACTTCAGCATACTGTCCATTATTTTTTACCTTTATTAAATTTAAGTGTATTATCAGTGATGCATGCCAGACTGACAGCAGGAAACCGATGTCCTCTATTGATTCATAGAAGAGGCATAATACGTGCATAAATACAGACCGCATCGTCTTCACCATGCTGCCACACCGGTGTGTGTCAGATCCATCCCGGGGCACTACGTGTAGATGGTGGAGGGTAATTCGGTATTTCTTTGGTCTTTCTTCCTCTGAAGTTGCTACTAGTTCGTATAGCAGCAGGGACTGTGTGGGGACCTATTTACAACAAACTTAGGACCACTCCATTTGTCACAGGACAATAAAATAGCTACCAGCTGCTAACGACTTATCAACCTGGACCGGAAAGGAACTGGAGATCTGGAGGGTGAAAGGTTGTAAACTCCATTACAAATCCTCGCTGTCATATATCTCCTGTCCTCACACTTTGTTATTCATGCGAAGAAATCATAGTTTAAAAAAAATCAGTTCAGCTCTATTGAAATTGGACTACCTATTTGTCAGTTGTTTTTTAAAAATAGAAACAGACTGAGCTTTATCCAACATTCGGATTAAAATCATTTATTGAAATGGAACAATTGATTTGGGGGGGAAATGAAAAAAAAGTCCTAGGGAGACATGACCTCGCAAAGTGCCAAGCATCTTTATCTTCTACTGAAGTTGGGGAATCAGGGCGCTCGGGGCTTCTCCTGGAGCCTGCCCTTCAAAGAAAAATACGCTAACAATATACGCTTTGTCTTTCCCATCTATTATGTAATTGAGCACGTTATGTCACTGAATGCGTTTGCTGCCAAAAAAAAAAAAAGGAAAAGAAAAAAAAAATACGTACCATTTTAGAAGGGCTTTTTTTTTTTTTTCCCCAAGCCAGAGTTAGGTTAACCAGGATATTAAAGCACGTCGTTGCAAGCCTGCTAAAGAAAAGATCTGTTTGTAGTACTCTTAGTCCTGATGTCACAGGCACAGCAAGGACATCAGAAGGAGGAGTCAGATTACAGTAAGAATGGGCAGTGCAGCATGCAGCCGGAGTAAACGCTAAATCAGACAGGGATTGTATCAGGGATAAGACTGCCTGCAAAGCGCTCATCCTGAGGAGGCACACTGCTCACTCACGCTTCTTGTGCTGGGAAATTTCCACATAATGTAGAATGAAAGAGCTCTGTTTTACATGTCAGCCCTGTGCGGGAGCTAATGCTGAATACACAGCGGTGGGATCCTGACTGCATGATTAATGAGAAACATAATGTATTTTGGTAAGTGTTAACTGTGATGTAATTCTGCTTCTGCTCACATTATCAATAGGAGTGATTATTACAGATTTCGATTCAAGAACATTTCGTGCTGGCATGCACCTAAAACTGACAACTGGGGAATCCTGTCGGCTGTGCAGTTTGAAAGGATTCCATTGTCTGGGAAATTTTCTGTTTGAGTGGGCTACCGCGTAGTTTTAGCAGCTTGAAAAATAAGCTAGATGGGATGAACACATCCTAGGTTTGTTTTATGTGAACTTGTGTTTCATCTGCCGAGAGAGGATGAGAAATGGTTGTGAGGCATGGGAAGTTTTAGACGAACTTAATGTAATGGACGAGCTGCTACTGCACTGTCTGTGGTGGGGAGGCACAGTAAGCCTTAGTATTTCATTCAGCTTTTAGTTTGAAGAATTCAAAGATACAAAGGCAAAACAATGCTTTATTTGCAGTGGTGTGTTTGCCGAGTACACTGCATTATGCTGATCACCGGTGTGGGGTTGGCTCCTAGCATACCACGAAATGCATATTATTTTAAGCCTTTAGAGGTCTCAGAGCTGTTAAATATTTGTGCAGAGTTTAATTTTGTTGCTTGATGGAAATCTTCCTTAGGCTTACAGCTGAGCTGGCTGCATAGCCTAAAAACATGCTGGAGCGTAGAGCTATGTCTAAGCAATGTAGTGCTGCAGTACTGGGCTGAGATGTACAATTGCAATATAATGCTGCAAGTTAGTGCTGCTAAATAGCACAAAAAAAAAAAAAAAAAAGAAAATTTGGTGGTGTGATGGAAAAATACTATTCTTGGCTACTTGAAATCTCATCTAGCCTCAGTGTTAATTTATAGCTGCATAATACTTAGAATGAACACAGAGCAGAGTTGGAGGATTTCTGGGACATTCAGCAGCTTTCTCAGTTTCATTAAATATTGAATCAGGAGTTCACTTCAAGCTTTAAGAGAAGAACTTTTGTAATACTCTGAGCCCTGTCACTGAAGTACTATGCTTTATGACATGCTAAGCATTATTTTCTTATTTTCATAAAACTAAAAATATTGGGGTGGGGGGGTGTCTTTAACAGTGAAACCCATCAATTATGAAAGCAGATTGATTTTGATGTAAACTGTCCTAACAGAAAAAATATAAATTGGCTGAGTTGTCAGAACTGCTCAGAGTCCCTTTCAAAGATAAATTTGCAATGTTTTAGCTTTACTACATTTTTCCAAAGACTGAGGAAGAATAGACAAGCATTATGGTTTTAGGTTTGAGTAATTTGGATTAAGTCTCTTCACCATTAAAAATGTGGCGTTAGGTTAATTTTTTGCTCATTTCTTTTGGCTTATTTTTCTACCTTTAATACCATTGCAAGCGCGAGATGGGTTTTATTTTTTTACAGTCAGTTTTGCAACAATTGCCTGTGTGACTAGGATTAGAAGTTACAGTTTCCTGAAGTTATACGGGTTAGGGTATTAGGTATATGTTAGCTGGATGGTACTTAATTTTATCATTTTTTTTTCTGTCTGTAATTTTCAGAAACATGTAATGGTGATCAAACTTATTTTGCTGTTACTTCGAAAAAATACAAACCGCTGTTTGACATGCTTATTTGTTTTCTGGTGCAACACAAGTTTTTAATTGGAACAAACTGGATTGTGCTTTCTCTCTGCTTTGTAGGAAATTTCACTTCTGAGCGCAGAGCTGAAAGTTTCTGTTAGGCAGGTTGTTGGTCTGCTTTGTTCAGTCTGAAACTTCCTTTAATATTAAGTTTTAAATGAATGTTCTTGTTTCTGTCTTTTGCATAACAAAGCATGAGCTAATGGGGATAATGTTTACCTGTGGTTGTTCTGGGTGTTTTCCTGCTCTGTCTGGGAGAAGCCAGAACGTCTGTAATCTCACCTGTGCCTGTAGTAACACTTACTGCACAAAGCAGTATTGCACAGAGCCGGAGGAAAGCTTGACTGTGTACATCGCACACCTACTTTGACTTAAAATTGCTATAGCCATCACATAGAAAATATCAGAATTTTATATTTTCTGAGGGGAAAAAAAATAATTTCCTTTTAATATTAGTAAAGAATTCTGTGGTATTTTTTTCTCTGTGCATGCTACCACTATTGGGCCACCTAAAGAATAGGAAGGGAAGAAAAGGAAGGCATTTCTGTATGTTTGTATGCATCTTGCTTGTTTCTCTGGGCCTTCTTGTCTAATTGCTGCTGATGTAAGGTGGCGGAGTGGGAACACACGTGTACAGTGTTAAGGTTGAAATAAATACTGAAATAATTACCGTGGAAAGCAAGACCTAACCCTCTGAAAGTATTATTCTTATAGAGCAAGTATTAATGGGTGAAGTGAGTTTCTTAACCATCAGAGAGAAAAGTTGCTGAATTCAGGAATCGGTAATAGCGTTTCTTGCTCTCTTTAAAGCTGTAGCCTCCAAGAAGATTTTGGGCTGAGATATTCTACTCCTCTACTTCATTCCACTATGTATATTCTATTATTTGAGCTGAGCCTTCAAATAATTAAACTTATTGTGACCCTTCTAATTACATGAGTCTTTCTTTTACATTGCACCAGAATTTTGATGGAGTGGTTTTAATAACTGCTAATTTTCAGTCACCGTGTGTGCTTTAGAGTTTGTTGTTTGGTCACCGTGGATACATTTGTTACTTATTGTATTGGTTTTGCATTCATCATTTCGAGTTGAACAGAAATATGGAATTGTAATAATAATAAAAATCCTACAAAACGATGTAGTGTATTTTATAAACTAAGCCGAAAGCCAATGACAATAATAAATTTCTGTTGTTTTAATAGGTAGACGTTTTGCACTTAAAAACATACATACCTACCCCAAAGCAACTTTTGCTTGCTTTTATCATCGAGTTAATAATTTAGCATAAGATAAAAGTCAGTTGCCACCATTCTCAGCAGCTCCGAGAGGAGAAACAGTGGGTGGCTGTCAGTGCCACAGCGCTGATGTTGCACGCTGATAACAGGGGACCTCCTCTAGTCCTGCTCAACACGAGGGCTCTGCTGTGGCCGATGGTCATAGCTGGACGCTGCCATCTCTACCTTAAAAGGTCCTGCCGGCCGCTGCTGCCTTGGCTCGGCCACCTCGCCGGCGTCGTGCCTTCCTCGGCCCGGCAGCGCGGGCGGCTCGTGGGAGCTGGCTCATCCTGCGAGTGTGATGGCCCCCATGGCCACCCCTCGGGCTGGGTGGCCAGTCTGTTCGGGTCAGGTGGAAAGCGCTCTTCGCCCTTCAGGAGGTGAAGGGGGAGAGCTTTTGGTGTGTGCCGTGCACCGGCGCCGTACGCGACGGCCGTTGAACCGGAGGAAACGCTGCAGTGATATTGCAGTTGTGGGACAGTGAGCACTGGTCCTGAGGGCTCGGTAAACCCCAACTGGAATTGAGAGGGAAGCCAATCCTCCACCCCCACTGCCAAAAATCCACTCCTCTGCACGCCCCCATACCTTGCCCTTACTGAAGAAGCACAACCGAAAAAAGAACTAAAATTAAAATTAACAAGAAAAGGGGTGTGGGGGGGGAAGAGAACCTTGTACTTTTCCTTTTTTTTTTTTTAATTTTTTTTCCTTCCCTCCCTGCCCTCTTGAGGACCTATTACTGTTTTAAGTAACTTCTGTTCTCAATGTTTCTGTTCACATTATACAGGAAAACTAATATATTGGGGTGGAAATGAATATCCTATGGGATAAAATAATAGAACTATTAAGGGGAAGAAACAAACGATTTTTGCCTGAAAATGCCATCACATTTCTGTTTGCATGTTGGCTGTTTTCATTTTTGGTGGGGTTTCTTCAGTCAGTGTTGTAGAGTGTAGTAATTCATCTGCATACATACTACTATTCTGAGTATCACTTTTTATTTCTGGAACACTTTCTTGCAGAAGAGATTCATGCTGGATGAGTCATGGAAGAAAACATACCCCCCCCACACCCCAAATCTCACCACCTCTTTAAAGAAAACACACATTGTACAAACCAACCAACCAACCAAAAAAAACTGTTTCAGCAGTTTCAGTGAAAATATTTAGTTGTCACCTGTTTGTTTTTAGGAGATTATATTTCCTTCTAGGTTAGACACTGTGGAGGCCTTTCGTAGCGTTTCTGTTTGTCTTCATTTAAGGCAGGAGGAATCGGTGATGATAAGGCTGTGCTTTTAACACAGTATTTAACAGTATTTCTGTTTTGAGAAATACAGATACTGGATTATTAACTGTGTTTTATCACCAGCCATCTGCAATAAGAAAGTGTAGTTAATATATAATGGATGCTGCATGTGACAGAAGAATTCAGCAGAGCAAGCCAATATATAGGATCTTGAAATCTGCGGGAGCCTGATGTTTATACCTGGAATGATACAGCCTCCTGGGCAGTGAAGTTCATATCTTGAAGCACTGAATAACCATTAATCCATGTATACATAATAATAATAATAATAATAAAATCCTGTTTGAACTTACAATCTAGCACAGAGCAGTTTCTGTACCCTTTTAGATTCTGTTACAGAAACTGTTCCTTTAAAATACCTCTAGATATATCCAGTATATTGCCATAAGTAAAGGGTGATTTCACCATTTCACACACACAAAAAAAGCATTCCCAGTGTTACCCTTCTTGTGGGTGGCAGAATTGCTCCAAAACCAAAATCAGAATTAATGGTTTCTTGCTTCATTAGAGAAGATTAGATCACAGTTGCTTCAGCTGAAGGTCCTTTAACAGAAAGTGTGTCTGTCTGTGCGCGCACATCCATATGTGAATGTGTGTGTATATGTTTTAACTGGGATGACTGTGGAATCTAATCCTGCATCCTTTCGTAATGAATGTCTTGCTTCTGTTAAGAAATGAAATGTTAAGTAGAAACCGGATTTTTAAAATTTTCATTATGTCATGCCTCTGTCCTTTTAATTCTTTTTTCCTAAAAGACAATTCATATAAATTATTTTTATAAAGTATTGTAAAATAATGAGAGCCTTTGAGTGCAGAATTATC